TGTGCATGAGTGAAAATGAGGGGATGGCATCTGTTTGTATGCTGCGAACATGGCATGTGCAAGTTTTTTAGTGGGGTTAGGTTTGCTGGTTTGTTTCTTATGTATGCTGCGAACATGGCATGTGCAAGTTTTTTAGTGGGGTTAGGTTTGCTGGTTTGTTTCTTATGTAGTTCTCTTTGCCATTCAAATTGGGGAGGGACAAGAAGTTTGCCTTGAGATTTAACCCATTTATCAATTCAGCCCGTCCACCACTCACTTATATAATCACATCTTTTCAATGATCCACTCACTCGCATTCTAATTTGATTATCCATCTTAATTCATCTACCCACCTTAACAACATTTTCATCCTTCACCCGAGTTTAAAAGTTTTGTAAACTAATGCTTGTGTAAATCAATTTCACAGAGAGCCCAAACCATCAAACATTTCTCTTCCCTGTAATGAGCGAAGCCCAAACTGATGATTCCTCCTTCCCTTTTTTCCACACCCACAGTCGTGAATGCCTGTCTGTCTTCACCTTGTAGGAACGGAGGAACGTGCACGCCGAGTGGCAACTCATTCACCTGTTCTTGTGCCCCAGGCTACATGGGTGACACATGTGAAATCTGTAATTATCTCTCTTGGTTACACTCAGTAAAATAATCCCAAGATATGCAATTTGATCGTTGTTTTATTAAGGAAATAAATATGTGCTTGGGTGGTCTTCAATGTGTGTTTAAGACCGGCTCAGGAGAATGGACGTGACTAATGCCCTTACCTGCGGATCAGACATTAGTCAAGTCCATTCTCCTAAGCAAGGTCTTAAATGTTAGTTTAAGACTGGCCAAGCATATGCTTTTTCCCATTTATAAATCCTTTTTATTCAGAGAGTCAAAAGAAGTCAACATATGATGGATTTCTTAATGATTTTGTTCTAAAACTTTACTTTCATTTTCCTGTCCATTTTATTAAAATCCTTTTGAAAGTTGTCCAAAAGAATTCCCTTCAATGAACTTGGCATGCACATGGCATGTCGAATGCACACAGACTTCTGCCCAATCAGACCCCATTAAACTGTCTTGTATGTAGGTGGCAGCACGTGTTTTGCCAGCGGGCATTATCACTTCTCAGCAGCCATTACCAAATGTTAATACATGGTCACGTGACACGTTTCGACTGATATGAACAAAAAAACTGTCCCATGCAGGTACTTATGAATTGATATTCATTAATACTTCAGTCAGTCTCCCTATCCAACAACGTGCAGCTTGACAGTATATTAACATTTGATAATGCCCACTGAGAAGTGATAATGCCCGCTGCGTAAATCATATACTGGCACCTGGATCCTAGACAGTTTAATCAATTCTGATTGGTCAAGAGTCTGTGTGCACCTGGCTCTCCACATCTGCGAAGTCCATATAAGGAAATACTTTTGGACAACTTGCAATTGGGGTGCTTGGGAAAATGAAAGTAAAATTCTAGAACAAAATTTTTGGAAATCCATCATATATTGACTTCTTTTGACTCTCTGACTGAGAAAAAGGTATTTATGATGGGAATAAATAATTTGCTTGGCTTGTCTTAATTAACGTTTAAGACCAGGTCAGGAGATTGAACGCTGATAATGCCCTGATAATGCAGCTGGGGCATTAGTGGCATCATTCTCCTGAGCAGGTCTTAAATGCATGTTCAAGACCAGCCAAGTACATATTTATTCCCATATTTAATAGTGTAATCTGTTTGTACTTCCGTTCAATTCTCTGCAGTCTAACCATCGTAATTGTAATGTGAATGTCATGAAACCCGTTGCTCCGATGCCATTAATAAGTAATACTGTAGTTTTACCACTAAATATTGAAGTTCAAAATGTTTGTTAAGAACAAATAAGGATAAAAATACACTGACAGTACGGGAGTGTCTTCCATCATTTTCATAACATTAAAACGGAGTTAACAACCTTGGATTAAAGCAACTTTCTGGTATTAGACAGTCAACCTACAAATGCAACCACTTACTATGTCTCATCTCTCATGTTGCAAAAGGAAGGGCATAATTAAGCCAATCATTGCATTGCGAGCTGTGTAAAAAATAATGACTCAAATGTCCTGCCAGACACCTGACAATGGACCTTATCTGTGAGCTTGCCATATTGAAGTTGAAAGTGAGGGTAACTCTTTATTTCTGGAACTTGAAAGCATTGATAGAGCAATGAAATGAAATTTCCTGTCAAATTAGAGCTGTCTACCCTGATGAATAGTTTCATATTGTGATGAAACATACTTTAGTATTTTATCCCAGATTTGGAGAAAAAAATTTAAAAGGAGGCTTGGAACCAACATGAATTCTAAAATAGTCTCATACCTTCTCATTCAATAGTTAAGGATTCATAAAACAGATTTGATGAAAAAGATCAATAATGGCTTCCTCAGGAATAAAAGTCCATTGATAAACCCTCGCCCAAATAGCCGATATTGACATTTGCACTCGAAACCTGTCTTAATTCACACTAGACCGCCCATGTACCTCCAGCCCCTGCTTAAATAGTGGCACTTGCACTGAAGATTCAACGGATACTGATGGCTACGTCTGCACCTGCACAGATATATTCACAGGGCATAACTGTGAAACTGTGATCCGTAAGTAAGATTTTTTTTTATCTTTGCACCCATTCGTCTTCGTCTGCTTACTCACAGCGGAGCATAGAGTGGTTTCCGTAAAAATGCTGGTCGTCAGTGAGTGCGGTGAAAATCTCCACGATTCGTGATGGCATCAGAAATTAAGTAGTGGCCCTGTTAGAGCTTTGATAGACTCCAAAAAATTTGGTTGCAGAAAAATCAAAATTTTGTCGCAGGAAAATCTCCTCTGTTAACTCTGTGGTTGGCTTTGACCAAGTAACCACATGCTTACTTCAAGCATGCTTTAAGAGACAAGGGGCCCCCACATGGTTGAGCTACTATAAGGATGTATGATGATGATCCAGCTTTGGCACTCTTAAGCTTCCCCCCTGCTTGGTTACCCCCCACCCAGAATTCTGGACACAGCGTCTCCTTGACCAGTTCATTACTCAACAACCATGCCAGCTCTAATCAAATAGCCCTTTGCCGAGTATAAAACCTTTTACCATGAATTGGTAAAAGGAGAAACTTTGGGCGATGCAGAAGTCTGTAAAATTTTGGTTTCAATTTGGGCCATTCATCTGCTACAGCAATTAACTCCCGCTGACTGATGGAGCATTCTATTTTCCCTCGGCTTTGCCTCAGGAAAACAGAATGCTCCATGGATCACCTCGGGAGGCTACTTTTACTGAAGCAGTCAATATTTGTAAACTATACCTTGCAAATGTTGTTTTAAGTACATCATTGGTGTTCATGCAAACAGTTTCACAGTATTTGCCCATCTTGCCTCCACAGCTACTCCTTGCAGACCTAATCCTTGTGTGAACGGTGGAAACTGCTCTTTGGTCCTCGGACCACCCGAAGACTACATGTGTACCTGCCTGCCACAATTTGAAGGCACAAACTGTGAGATTGGTAGGCATAGATTTGCTTTGCAGAAATCTCTTGTACACTGTGACACCACCTGAATTCAGTGGAGTCAAACATGGTGGACAAATGGATGCAGATGTCTTATTTACTTAGCTGTTAATATGATTCCTTTACGTGACTTCAAAGAGTTGTGCTGTCAGCTCAAAACACTTTGCCAGTACGTTCTTGAAACTAGGAAGCCAGTGCTGCAAGACTCCAAAAGCATAATGCATAACTTGTTTTCTAAAAGTCATTACTGGTTAATTTAGTCACTCAAATAGTTTGATTCTGTGTTAATCTTTTTTGTATGAAAAGTTAATTGTTTATTTACACATAGTCTGAGACCTGACTGGTCAACTACATATCCATTATTTGATCGTTTAGTTTTCCTTGCCAAACTTTTTAATTGTTTTTGTAAATCTGCCGTCTTGGCACTGCACACATTCTGACAAGTTAGTTTCTGGCCTTCATTAATGTAGATTTTAAAGTGAACTGTAGTTTATTGTTTACCGGTGTGCCACCTACATTTTTGTCTACTTTTTAGAGATGGGCCAGTGCCCGCCCTCACACTGCCTGAATAATGGAACCTGCACGGTCCTACCTCAAGGATCTGGTGCCATGCCCGTGTACCAGTGCACTTGTCCCATCACCCATTCTGGAGATCGATGTGAGACAGGTAAGACTTGATATCTGTCTTAAAATGGGCATTGTGCTCCTTCCTTTTTTGTGCCATTTTTGTTTGAGAGGTAACTAGATCTAAGGTGAATTTGCATAACCTGCTGCTCTCTGATAATGAAAATTCACACAGATTGATCATCGCAGTAGAGACATCACAGTGTAGACCAATTCCAGGAAATGATATAAGTGCAGTGGCACGGCACCCACATGAGCGTGCATAAGACTGATGTGCACACGCCTTTTACAAATCAAGACTCCCTATTGGTCAAAGAGGCATGTAACGCACGTGTGCTGCCTGCCCATAAGCAGCAGTGCCACCGCAGTAATGGCCTCTAATCCTGGTTCCTGAATTACACAAAAAGGGAATCTGTTACTTCCCGACTGAAAATGTGCAATTCATTTACCTATCGAGACCAATTCACTTACCCATTGGATCCAATTCACTTACCCAATGGATCCAATTCACTTACCAATTGGATCCAATTCACTTACCAATTCAATAACCATTACAAAACCAATTGGTTTTGCTTAGAATCAGTTGGAACCCAGTTGGGTTCAATTGGTTTGAATAGTAAATTCAGACCTTTCTGGGTTAATTGGACCATTTCAAACCAATTGACACCACTTGAATGCCAATTCACAATCCAACTGTAACCAACTGCAGAACCAGTTGAAACAATTCAATACCAATTCAAACCAATAGAGTCCCATTTGAAAAAGCCATTTGATGGGCGGGAAACAAGCTGAAAGCAAACCAATTGGAACCAGTTTCGTCCCATTTGAAATTTTCAATTGATTGAGGAAAAAAAACAAAGAGGAAAGCATACCAATTGGAACCATTTGATACCCATTTGAAATTCCAATTGATTGGGGAAAGTAAACAGAAAAGAAAAAAATGCCAATTGAAACCAATTGCGTCCCACTTTTTGAAATCTCCAATTGATGGAGGAAAGTAAATAAGAGAGAAAACATACCAACTGAAACCAACTGAGCACCAATTTATTGCCAATTGGAACCAATTCATTCCAATTAAATCCAATTCAAAAATCAAATGGTTTGAATAGGCCATTTTTAGTAGGGTTATCATGAACTATCCATGCATGTCTTGTGGATCCGAGGCTGGAATCATATTGATTTCGTTGTTGCAGCTTTGAAGCACAAACAATTGTGGCCAGAGGTGTGGGGCCTGGAAAATGTATGAATGTAAAATGTGAGACTGTGAAAGAGAGGATAAAATTTGGCGAGATTTTAACCATATTAGGCAACATTTACGGTGGTGAGTCTTATCTAAATTGCACCTCCTAAACTGAGAAATATATCTGTCCAGATATCTGTGTAAATTACTGCGTGAATGAAGGAAACTGCACAGTGAGCAGTGGAGGCCAGGCTACCTGCAGCTGTCCAGTAGGATTCTCCGGAGACCGTTGCCAACTCAGTAAGTTGTTGTCAATTAACGAGATATTGCCAACTGCAAATGGTGCTGTGTTTGCTTGTATGAAAATCTTAAAATCACTCCTTGTGCATGTAGGGTAAGGCCCAGAAGGGGAGGCCCAACCGGCTCTCCCCCTACAAGCAGCTGCTAGTGTGAAGAGCCGTGGCTGGGCCCACTTCCTGTACACATCATCATGATATCATCAACGACTAACCATTCAGATGGCAGGGATTTACTTAGGCATTTTATTCTACTTGATATTTCTTCCAAGAAATATCTTGGAATATCTTTGTTATCTGCTTGTATTTCATACAAGTAGATAACAGTTTGATATGGCAGCTGTTTTTCCTGAAGTTCTGGTTTGCATTTTGTACTTGACATTTTGGTCTTCCTCAGCTCCAGAAACATGCGACAACATGCCGTGTCAAAATGGAGGCACCTGCAGAGTTATGAATGGCCAAGCTGAATGCACGTGCCCGACAGCAATCACAGGACTGCTCTGTGAGAGAGGTAATTCCATCTACAACTTGAATGAGAGTATGCTTGTGCCCTCGACACCTTTTGTTGTTTTTTCTTGTTTACTTGTTTGCTCGCTCGTGCAAGGAAAACAAAGTGGGAATTTAAGAATAACCCTCTTTCATGTCTGCTGGTAAACCAGAGTGAATGATAAGCAGTTGTATCATTAGCTTGTGGATTAGCAGATTTGTTACTGTTAAATCGTCTGGTTATATATATCTTTTTCTCTGAAGTTCCCTGTGAACTCATCACGTGTGACAATGGAGGGACCTGTGTTGAGACCCAGATGGGACTGGGGTCTTGCCAGTGCGTCCTTGGATTTGATGGGCCGCTGTGTACAAACAGTAAGTCAGCACTATATGCAGCTCTCCACAGAATTGGAATTGTACATTGAAAACAGGAGTCCAATATGTGTGTGTGCCAAAGCACACTCTTGCCAACCCTTGATTTTAAATGCCTGTCCTCACTGACATTTGGGTATTACCGAGACAGTGGTTGTAACTTTTCCTGTTTTGTTCGAGTGTGATTGACTGCCTGGTGTTTTCCTCTTCACTAGACACTAACTTTTTCTGAGTCCAGGGGTTACTTGAGGAAAACTGAGCAGTTAACTTGTCCTGAGATAATATGAGTCTGGTGTGTAAAGTGCAAGTCGCTAACTACTGACCATTTTCCCCACGTTGTGTAGATATCGATGACTGTGCTAGTGATCAGTGTCTCAATGGCGCAAGCTGTTTGGATCTGATTAACAACTACATGTGTTTCTGTGCCAGCACGTACACAGGGAGAAATTGTGAATCCCGGACTGGTGAGAATCAGCCAGATCCTTACAAGTGTATTTCTGTGGTCTGGAATATTGTTATTGTAATAACTGATATTGCAAACCTCTAGTAACATTACTGAAAAGAACAGAAATCAAGCTGTGCTATTTTGTCTGTGACAGATTCCAATCAGTTCACGTGTTTTCAAGTGTGATTATAATATATAACCCTGAAAGAACTTGGGCAGGTTGAAATTAGGTTTGGGGTTAGGAGTTATTCAGACCAATACAACCAAAATAAATTACCTCAGTGAGGGTTTTTACCTCGTAATAATTGCAGAGCACTGGGAATTAAATCATAAGATATACCAGTGGCCACTAGAAATAGGTTTGGAGAACTTGAAGTTATCTAGATTTTCGTGCATGTGACAATGTAGCTGGATTATTGATTTAAAAAGAAAAAAATCTGATGACCAAGTTCCACATAATTAGAAGATTTTGTATTGTTGGCTTTGCACTGGCACCTTTTCTTGTTACCTTTCCCGTTTTGTAGAAGTGTGTGGCACTTTGAATGGTAGGTGTGAAAATGGAGCAACATGCGAGCCTGCCATGAACAGGTGTCTCTGCCAGCCAGGCTATGAAGGGCCTCTCTGTGCTGATGGTAATTAATGCCTATGGCACTGCATCATGTTTGACTTTGGGTTCTGAAAGGGGTATCTCAGCTAAGGACAAGAAAAATATAAATGCTAGGCAGTTATACCATGGAGCTAGTAAACATATCTCCATGGTTATACGATACCAAAATCAACTATTTGCCAGAAGGTGCAACAGTCTTAAGACATTCTCATTATTCTAATATTTTTTTCATTTCAAACTCGTCACATGGTAACCATGGCATAACCTACTTTGGATTTTTTTCCATTCAATATTTTTCAAAGTAAAATTGCAGAGATTAGAAACATGGTTGGTGCAGAAAAGTTGGACCATGAGAAAATACTATAAAGCGCTTTGAATGTGGACATTTTCAAGCATCATTAAATTTGATTTCAAATTTAGTGAAAGGTTTCTTGGATGTCTTGGTTGTATGCTTGCTGTGTATGATTTTTCCCCAAGCAGCAGATCATCTTTCTCAAAATGAGAGTTTTTAATCTCTGTCCCTCGTTCATGATAATTAACATCCTCATTGTCACGACCAGCATGTGCATTACAAGCGATGTACCCGTAATTCATAAGGCCAAAATCCTACCTTACAGTGGCCCCACTGCATCTCATCCCATACTTTGCATCTTCGACTCCGTCATTGCATATTCATCCCCAGGCCCCTTTCTAGATTTAAGCATACTAGTTTTAAACCATTCCATCACACTTTTATTCCCTTTTAAGTATGCTACCCAGTGCAGCTAGCTGATGGTCTACACTCCTCACTGGCCCACATTTCAGTGCCATTAGAGGATACTTTGATTATAGGCATTGACGGGGGGGAGGGGCATGCTTGTGCCCCCTCCCCCATTCGAAATCTGTGAATTATCTCCGTTGTGATGCAGCTGCAGCTTATTTTCTTGTGGTGCCCCCTTCAAAAATGTGTGCACCCCAGGCTCCCCCCACCCGGAAATTTAGCCCTAGTTACACCAATGACTGTGCATTTCCTGCGACCTGTTGCTAATCTAAAATCCTAATCCTCTAGGGTGTATGTAAAATTATATTGAAATGGGAGGGTTGAGGACTGTTGGATTAAACATTTCTCTTTGTTATCCTACTTCATTGGCAGTAGATATACGGTGTGAACAAACCTCAGAAACAAAAACATCATCATGCTCACTGACAATCAGAAATGCTGGCAATTGTAGTGCAGACATTGTTTTTGCAAGACTCTGTAATTTTACTCTTTACAACAAAATTCAGAACCCCCGCGTGAAACTAGAGTTTAGACTTTATGAGGTACCCTTGCGATGATGAAACGGCAGAAATATTCATGATAGAAAATTGAACTACATGATTTGTTGATCATCATTTTTCCCCCAGATGTGAATGAGTGTGCCTCCAATCCTTGCATGAATGGTGGAGTCTGTGTGAATCGGGTTGCCAAGTATCTGTGTGCCTGCAAGGAGTTCTTCACAGGGCCCAAATGTGAAATCTGTAGGTGTTTTGTCGGTTGAATAAAAGCTTACCTGTCTCCGTTGCTTAATTGTGCAGTGTTGGATTTGTTTTCTGCTTTTACTTTGCGTAAATGTAGTTCCCATTACTCCTTCCATGACAAATGGGTGCGCATAGTTTAAACTGGTTATTGGAAAAGGGATGGTAAAACAATTTTTCATGGAGTGTAGCCATTCTTTGGTGATACAGCTTGGAAATTGGAATTTGCCTGTTACATTCAAACATTTTCAAGAAAATGTTTGAACTTGAATGAAATAGGCATGGGTGACATATTAAGGTAGTGCACTCAGCTTTTAATACTATACTGTGGAAGCATTGTGTCTGCTTTTCAGTAGATTGTCAGTGTTGTCAGTTGCTTAATGTGCATTTTCATTTCTGTCTTCAATAGGAGTATGACAACATTTGTGAATCCTCCGCCCTTCTACTCCCACTTGCTCCATTCTCTGCCCCACAAGCCTTCCTTACACCCATACCAGTACACTTTCGAGCCCTGCCTGGCACCCACAGTCCTGCCCCAAACCCAAGTCCTCCCTCAGCTGCAGACAAAGATTTTACCCATGCCTTGAGCCTATGCTGTGCACCCCATGCTCTGCCCTCTACCCCAAACCTTGCCCATTGCTCGAAACCCTTCCCTACCCCCAAAAACCATCCTGGGCTGGTCCTAATAACTCCAGTCCCATACCCCCTCCATACCCCCTTCATCCCAAATCCTGGCCTATAAAACCAACCCCTTCCTTGTACCCAAACCTTGCCCTCCCCCCTCCCAAATAAGCCCTGCTGTCCTGCTCCCCAAATCCCAAACCCTTGCACCCAAATCCCTTTTCCCATGACCTCATCGAGAGAGGCAAGCTTTGGTCCCGCATGATATGGCAACTTCCATCTCTGCTGGGCAAGCTCATCTCCAGCTTAGGAAGCTGATATAGTTACTGCCACACAACGGGAATTTTGCAGAATGGTTTGCACTTTCACCTTCCTGCCCAATTCCCCCCCCCTTTCCCTCCCATTATGCACTCCTGCAACCCTCCCAAATTCAGTTAACTTCCTTGAAAATTACTTCATTTAGTGTCAGGGTGAGGGAGATATAAGTGCAATTTTAGAGTTTCTGAGATTTGATTTGTACCTCCTCAAAAGTGAAGTCCTAAAGCATTGACTACTTCACCACAGAACATTTATATTCCCTTTCCTTGACTACTTGGTCCCTTCTGATCGATCACAGGTTGAAATGAATTTATTCCCCCATTTAAGTCCAGTTAATTTTCCAACTTACTATACATACATGCTTACCAATGCTACCTTATAAGCTGTCAAAGCAATCGTGGTAGATTAAGCTCAAAATGCAAAGCAGTAGAAGCTTTCTTTGTAAGTCCTTGTTTTTTTGTTTTTACGATGTTGAGGGAATAGCTTGCTCAACTTTCAACAATATTTTAGTCTGAAGCTGCATTTTAGCAATTTTCCAACTTTCCATTCCCTCCTGTTCTTCATCCCACACCTCCTAGATAGTGTTCTTGTTGTTTCTTTGTTCAGTCTTTTTGTATTCACCTGGTACCAGTAGGGTGTTTGTTCTTTTTCATTACACGTTGAAAATTGTTCAACAGGTGTTTGGAAAGAAGATAAACTCATTGATGATGCGAGTTTGTATTGCTGTGTTACACCTGCAGTGTAAATCTAATGTGAATAAAAAAATACAATGAAAGTTTTGACATCTTCTATTTAAATTTGAATCCTTTTCAAGGCAACAAGCTTAGCAGTTTAACATGTGACATGCATTCTGCCTTTCATGTTGTCACAAAGTTTTCTCTGCAGCTTGTGACATAGCTTGTTACCCACAATGCCTTGGCCTGTATGGAGTAACCATTTGGTGATGCACGGTCGTAGCATTTGAAATGAACAAGCATTGAGCTGCAGCAATCATTGTTTTTCTCATTTGCAGCCGAGAATAAGCCAGAAAACCAACCCCAAACAGGTCCTTTGCTGGAACCTTGGTGGATAGCGCTCATCTGCCTGATCGGAGTCCTCTTCGTCATCTTTGTTGTTATTGTCATCTGCACCATGAATCGTAGTCATGACGACGACAAGAAAAAAATAGTCATCTAGTGTCTCTCCTCCTTAGTTAAAACCCTTAGTCTGTTTGCAATGTATAGGTAGTAATGCCTTGACCGTGCATTTGACCCAAAATATGTTGCATTGAAGTTGTAATACAAATGCATGTGCACTCAGAGTCATGTGGATGGTGGGAATCTTAAAGGAACCACCCTTTGCAGGTTGTCCAAGGCCAATGTGCATTCAAACTCTTTATCTGAATAAGGCCTCTGGCCAGGCCACATGTTGTAACTCATCACGTGTTCCGCAGAAAAGCATGTTTTCCCCCAGTCTTACAACTTGCAATGCAAGCAGTCGGCTTGACTAAGCTCTATTGCCGGGCCCCAGACACATTCTTAATGCATTATCTCAGCTTTCTAGAATCCTGGCTGTCCATTTATTTGACAACATTTTGCTTTGAATGGTATGTTACTTCCAATTTGTTATTCATTGTATGTAGATCTTTTCCTCATTTGTATTTTTAGTGCCTATCTTTAAATAAAAAAGAAGAAAAACAACAACGGTTAAAAAGCTGAGATATCAGCTTGTTGAAATGCAATTTTACCTACCGTTTTCGCTCTGCATTAAATGGGTAAGTAAGTGGTTGTTAAGTAAGTTTAGCATGTAGCATATGTAATGTTTTGATAGATAATGTTAAGGCACAGGGTTTAAATGTTGATATTGAAAAGCTGAATTCATTGTCAGAAATTTTACTGGCTATCAGTAAAGCAGATGTTTCGTATCTATGCAAATTCAAACTTTTTATATATTACTGAGATGGAATAAGAAATTTTAAGCACTTAAATTTCGATGTTGTGATTTTCTTGTACTTAAATACATTTTCTTTATCAGCATTGGTGTTTTGTACTGATAAGCAGATAATCATAATTATTGTAAATTAGATTTTGATAAGAAGTGTACAATGAGACAAGTATGTAAAGTTTGACTAATCTAAGGGATCTGAAGAAGTAGGCCTACTGTTGATACATCTAAGACATTGAATTAAAGTGAGGGAACTTTGGTAGCATAATGAAATTCAAACTTGTTAATGTCAAAGCTATACTGCGAAAGAATCCTTTAGGGGGTGTTCATGAGGCTAATCAAAAGAAGGTATGGACACGTCTTTTCAAGGTAGTGTAGGTATATATGAAACTTGTGGATGTCATTTTTCTTATTCTCGTTGCAAGGTCTGAAACCAAACTCCAAGAATTCATTCCTCAACCAACTGGTTGAAAGGAGTTTCTTTGTTTGGTGTTGCAAAAGCACCAAATGGCCAACACTGTCACATTTATTACTGTACTATTGAAATTTATCACAAATAAGTCCTGCAGTCACTCAAATTGTATGAAGTACGCTAACATGAAATATCTAATTAATAGCCCTCATAAAGTTTTATTAGTTTAATAATATCTAATATATATTTCTCATTTGGGCCATGTTAATTCAATGAAACAAGTGAAACATTTTATTTGTGTCGTTTGCTTGTTATTACGATTAAATGTAAACTTTTATTACTAAAAGCAAATCAAAACAAAAGCTGACAAACCTCCGATGCGCTTTCAATTAAACCTTCATTGAATATCTGTTAAAATTGGCAGATGCATTTTGCCTTTCCAAAACTGAAGTCTTTCAAGTTATTTGGGTATTTAGTGAATTAATAATTTAATAAAAGCAGTTTGTTTCTAAAACTGTTCGTGTTGTGGCTGTCTTTTGTAGTTCAGTGATTAAATTTACTCACTGGACCTCGCATGGCGTCTTGTCACCAGTAGCAGATTTTGACGCTGCTCAACGAATTTTAGCGCGAATTTCGCGGCTTTGGTTTCCTCCTTTTTTTTTTTAACATACCCATCAACCTACCGGGGGTGTTCCTTTTTAAATTTACCCCTTCCCTTTCTTTTTTGCTATTTTTTCTCGTGAAGCTATTGAACCAACCCGACGGCACGAGACTTACGCCTTGCACTAAGATTCATTGTGAACATTCTGGAGATATTTTCAAGTTTATTTTAGATCATGATTACTCTTAAAGGCCGGTTCACACCTGAGGCGAAACAAAGAAGTGAAGCACAGGACTACAAGAGGTATCTGCAGTGAAATACAAGATAAAATGCATGCATCATTCAATAAAAAAAATATCGGAAATAAAATGATGAAACAATCCTGTCTATTTCCTCCATCCATTCTGGCTTTCCGTTATTTTTTACATCCCTGAACATGTAAAATTATATTAGAAAATTAGCCGTTCGAATTTCAGTTTTTCAATTATCATTCATGATTTATCAACCGGTGCATTGCTATCAGTAACCAATGTATTTCTCTCTCATTCCACTTTGCACTGTCCCTGTAGAGGCCCTTTGATACATGGCAAGAAATGTTCAGTTTTAGAGGTGGACGGAAAACCTTCGAATGAATATTCCAAGAAAAATCGTACAAAATCAGGTTCTGGAAATGCAGTCCACATTTGCCTGGGTGGCCGTTTGGTTAAATTGCGGATCACAGAACTGGAAAGCGAGAAAACATCTGTATAAGCTGACAAAACTGTCCAGCTCCTGGTTCTGCCACTGTGGCATTCCCCACTTCGCCACTGATTTATGGTCGGTTTTTACCGTTCCGCCGTTTTCAAATTTTTACCCTCAAATTTTTGTCTCAATTTGGCGTCTAGATTTTGGTTTTTGGCCGATGCGTTATTACGTTGCATCTCCACGGCTGTAAGCGCCTCAGACAGAATACCGGTACTCCATTACGAGATCTATGGTTTATGAAATAGAAGACTGGATGCTGTGGTCAGGAATAAGATTATTTCTATGAAATGCGGTTGAAACTTCAACCTGACGACGTCTGGTGTCAACAAAAATAAGTTTCCACTTTATTTCAATTGCTGTTTTATGGCAGGTAATTGAAAAAGACGTACACCGCGTGGTGATGGGCCCTTAGACTGTGGAACTTGTGCTTTTTGTTTGCCACTGATTGGAGGCAAACCAACCTTCGTTTACACTGCCTTTCATTTAAAAATTGTACTGGAGTGCAGTCTTTTCAGTTGTCTTTTTTCCAGATTGTTGAAAAGAAGAAAAGAAAAGAAATTAGACTCCTAACCGGGGACCGAAAGGACAGTATTTAGCATTTGAGGTTGGTTGCGGGTGCAGTTGGTCAGTGGTGTGAGGCTTGGAGCGGTAGCGACGCCAGCGGCGGTGAGCACCGGGGGGGGGGGGCTGTCCGGATGTTGGACATAATAGGCCCTACATGCACATCTCGGTTTCCCGAAATGCAAGTGGGGGCGACAATTTTTCATGGGGAGGGGGCATGTACCCCCATGGCCCCCAGCCATGCCGCTGTGCGACGCCCCTCATGAGAAGTGCTCAGGTGTGATCACGACACGCCCAGTTTTGTTCTTGGATATTGAAAAAAACATAGCATAAAGGGGCGTTAAACGTGTAAGGTTTGTGTGGATATTGACATACATGGCAACCTAGCAGGATTTCATACATGCGAAATCGTGAAAGGTAATTTTAAAACGGTGAAAATGAAGCTTCAATTGTAGCCATTCCTCGCGGGAAATTGAAATGACATAAATTTAAAATCAAGCGGGTCCTCTTCATTACAAAACTGAAATTGCATTTCCCAATGCTGAACAACTCTTCTCTTTCAATTGGCATAATAAGATTCATTGTCATTTCCGAAAAATTAACTAGAAGAGATATTTGTGCCTTTGTTTTCGAATTTCGTAATGTGACATTTATAAAATCTAAATGAAGAAAATTAATACAGCAGAGCCCATTTAGCCCAACTTTAGGCGCGTAGTCAAAAATTAGCCGTTGATTTAAGAATACTAATATAAAAAATAGCTGTGCATTATCCTATGTAATGACTCACCGAATTTCAGTAATGTCCACCCAATGAATAGACAACTCCCCAACAGTGAGTCAAGAATTTTACAACCCCCCCATCCCATTCAACAAAAATTATATTTTCTCTTTATACTGACCTTCGCCGCGTCACACACCCACAGCCGGTATCAGGCAATGCTTTGCTCGATCTATATTTACAGAAGAAAACATCTATTGTTGGAGGATTTGCATCATAAATTACCTCTTTTGCGTTTGGGAGGTGAACTGAAAAGAACTGGGCGGTAAACGTCATCCGGAGGAAGAATAGAAAAAAATAGAAAGTGCAGTGATGCGTAACTATGGATAGAACTGTGCACTTCAGTCGCTGTGCATGCACATAGTGACATATACACAAAGCTACATACTGGCTGACCAGTGCTTTGGCACACCCTTTCGTAATCGCTGTTCTGAAAAAAGTCATATTTTCACTGTAGGAATTGGAACAAGGTGGCTGTTGAATCGAAAAGCTGAGAAAACTGAAGCACGGACGCTTATCGACTGCAAAGGACTGTGTAAAAGCTACAGGGTGGGCCATAAAAACGGTGAACTTAACACGACTGTCAGAAAGTTCCGTCGATTGCAAAATGGCCGAGTGGAAAGTTCCGATTTCCGCGTCGTTGGTGCTTACCATGCTTCTGGCGTGTCTTCACCGGGCGTACGGCTACCCTTCAGGCGCACCCTCTTCAGCTTGTTCGTCGCTCACACCTGGACATATGAATTCATCCAGTGGTCAACCCATCGCTCCTCAGACGTTGCAAAGTCCATATGTAATTAAAGTCCAACCTACGAAATACACTCCAGGTCAAGTTATCACAGGTGGGCCCATATATTAAAAAAATATAAAAAAAAAATAAAATATTCCTGGTAACCGTGGTTAGGCTTTCAATTTACACACTTGTCATGTTGTCACTTTTATCAGTATGATCAAGACGTTACGGTAATCCCTACTTTTATGATCCTGCTATTACTTTGAATGCCTTCAACTGTCCCCATTTATAGGAAACTAACATTTTCTAACAACACGTACCCTCCCCTAAGTAAATGATTCTGTTATCTTTCACTTGAGGAAAAGGGAGACTTTGCGAGGCTGTGAAGGTAATACTTGACTGACATTGGATGCATCCAAAATGTAGAATGCCTATGTTAGGATTGCTAACCCTAAAATCAGAATAATTCGAATGATAAATTGGCAGGGAATTTCCAATTTTTGCAAAAAGCTAGAGTGGATGTAGCAGCTGAGAATGGCTTCAAGGAAAGTCAGTACAGATTTGCCAAAGATCTTTGCAACAAATGTCCAAGGTTTTGACCTGAAATTGGAATCCAAAAGAAAAATTCTGAATGGTCTGTAAATCTGTTTGTGGTAAGTAGAATTTACCACAGAGGTTACTATAGCCTGTGTACCTGAATCATAACAATTAGAAATTTGTTTAAAAGATTTGATAATGTGGTTTTTCATGGATTGGAAATTAGTTGAAATCATTGCTATCTTCCTGGTTTTTTTTTGAAAATATCCATTTGTGATAATCTTTACTATGTTATTATGTGGAGTATAATCTACTTCCCTCATTCCTACTCTGGTTGAATTTAGTGCAGGTTACTAGGACGCAACAGTCACGTTTTATAAAATTTGTGGTCGGGCATTAATGCGTAAATTTCGTCTGACCTTGTCCAAGTGTTATAAGAGGTCATTTGTTGGGTCCTAGTGAATAGTTGGACTAGATTATATCCAATTTTTTTACAGTCAGGTAATGCACATTTGTGTAGTGTCTGGAAATAAGTAAAGACATTTTTCAAAAAGCAACATTTAGGATGAGAGTTTATTAATTTTGTGTACTCTAAGTTAAAAGTTGGCTTTAAATACTTAAATTTAATGCATTCACAAATGTTTATCTTTAACAATGGAAGTTTCCAAATTTGTATTTTGACCTGTGCTACTTTTAACAACAATAACCTTTCTTACCACAGAAAAAAGGTTAATCTGTAATTTTCAGTGGAAAATCCATGTTTTATTAAATTGATTATAGGATTTATTGATTATTGCTGGGGTCAGGGTTAGGTCATAACAATTATTATTGACATGGAATGAGGCACGAAATACCCGTGCCGTTGGTTAAAAATAACCCAGCTTTATTGAGTGTCATTGTGTTGAATTTGGATGGCACTTTTAAGGAAATGTCCAGAACCAGATTTTCAGGTCAAAATTGGATTTTCATTTCCATTCTGATATTAACTTTCCCTAACAATCTCCAACCCTTTACCCCTTGGAGGATGTAAGACTTGTTATGTTGGAGTTAATATGTAATAGGCCAACCAAGAATACAGGTCCTGTTGAAGTCATTGATTTCTTTCGCCTAGTAGAGTACGTTACCCTCCATGCCTCAAATCAGTGTTTTCTCACATGCTTAATTTCTCACCGCTTCATTGTTTTACTTTATGAAATACCAAGCAACATTACAAAGATCACTTTCAAATTTCATATTTTTCCCCCAGTTACCATTGAAAGTTCCATCGGTTTCCGAGGAATACTTCTACAGGCTCGCAAGGGTACCACACCTGTTGGTACATGGCAAGTTGCAGCTGATTATAAACATCTTAACTGCAACAACTCTGGCGACTCACTGACTCATGTAAACAGCAGTTTAAAGGCAGGAGGTACCCAGTTCAGTTGGACAGCACCCTCTACACTCACAGGAACTGTCAAAATAATGTATGCCTCAATTTTTCAATTATTTTTGTTGCACATGTTGATAAATAAATTGCACCTACATGTACGTGTAAATTGAAAGGAGTGCATCCCCTAACGTGTTGGACTTTGGGTTTCTTGCCTTTTGCATGGTGTCTCTGCCACAAACTGAGCAAAAAGCAAAATGTTGAAGAGTTAAAATTTATTGTACCATTACAGGGTAGCTAAAGAATCTTGCAGTCAGTGACATAGCTCCAAGTTCAAATGGAAACATTCTCCCTGTGCAGTCATTTTGGAAATAAAATGGCAGCTCATACCCATTCAGAGAAGCCCCCCCCCTTGGAGATTGGCATAATTGTATCTGCTTGTACAGATAGGAGTCCTTTCATTGGTTGTTAATTTCCAGCTCATTCGAGTGGATGAGGTTGAGAATAACAAGAAATGTGGAAAATTTAATTTCATAGTTAATCTGAGATCCCAATTTTATGTTTTACAAGCACAATGCATGAGTAAACTTGAGATTTCTCTCTTTGTGAGGGGTCAAGGCAAAGGTCATTTTGTATTGAAACTTCATTTTTTTTTGCAATGTCATTTGCAAACAGGGAAGTAGCAAATGATTGAAAAGGCAAATGAATAAAATGGTGCATCAGGGTGCTTGCACAAAGTGGTTAATGGGCAAAATTGTCTGCTGGCAAAGTGGTTGTGGGTGAAGTGGAGAATGGGCGAAGTGACTGTAAAGTATTCAGTGCTGCATTATAACAGATGTGTGTGCCTTCTCACACTAATATAACAACCAGTGTGCAAAGTACCAGTGGAACTTTACTGAATTTGTCTGGTGCATATTTTAATTTATATTGGATGGGGAGACCTGTCTACACTTTTCCAAAAAGTTATATATAATGATGTCACAACAATCCTTGAGACATTTTTATTCTGAAAAAAAGAAAACAATTGCTTCATTTGACCATATTTCTACCATTTAAAATACAATTACCTGTTTACCCTCGTTTCTTCCTCCGCAGGGCAACATTTGCGTTAGATAGGGAGATATTTTGGACAAGACAATTTGCTTCCGTTGCAGATGGAGCCGAACAATTATCAGGTAAATAGGTGCAATGGCTATCTTTCATACCAAAGTTTTGAGGGGAATGGGATCATTTCCCTCTCTTTATTAGTTTTTTTGTAACAGTTTGTAAGAGAATGGAATTTTGTCACAGGCAGCTTAACTTGAATTTGCTATTGTGAAACTTGGATGAAATGTCTTCTAAAATTGTATGCATTTATGCCTGCATCAGAAATATTATTCCTTCATACAAAAGTTCAATTTTCATTGTGCAAGAAGAATATCAAGAAATTGAACAAATATCTCCAAAATATTACATGTAATATCTCCAAAATATTATATGTAAATGAAATAAGAAAATGCTTTACTTCTAAGCCCTGCTTCTACATGGCAGATTTTCTCACATTGCTGTCTCATGTCCTCGGAGTAGCTTCACGATCAATATCCACTCGAGCTTATCTCTTACATGTGGCTCCTTCAAAACGATGCTCAAAGCGCATTACTTGAATCTAGCCTATAGCAGTACATTTTAGTTTACATGTATTCGACCCTTGCTTTGTTGTCTGTTTTACAGAGCCACGATGCACTTTTTTCCAATGGCATTAGATCGTATTACAAGTACTATTAATTTACTAAGTCCAGTGGCACAGTTTCTTTGCTTGTCTTGTAGGTGGCTGTGCAACCGAACCTTGTGTCGATGGGCTGTGTTTCCAAGGCGCCAATTCTTACATTTGTGATTGTAACTCAGGATTTGAAGGCGGCAACTGTACTGATAAAATACACAGTAAGTACAAGCTGAGGTAACTCATAAGCTATTCTCACTGCATTTTAAACATTAAAACAAACTACTAGAAGATCCCTTCTGTGTTTTTTGTTTTTTTTTGTCCTGAAAGTGGAATTGTCCATTCAAACCAACATGGATCATTTCCCTGGAGGGAATATTGCTCACAACTAAGGTGGCTTATTTTATATATTTGAGATTTTGAAAAGACGTTCTAAACTATTGATGAATTAATTAAAAGGAATGATAAGACTGTACACCTTTTCAACCTCATTGTGTGGCTCAGCACCTAAGCCAGAAATATTCAGTAACTAGTCAGTATTATTCATAACATCAATAAGAATGCTGATAATTTACTTAGAAGGTGAAAAGGCTTTCTTTTCTTGCTTGAGAACTATTGAGGCACTGGTGCTGTAAACAATATGGTGGATGGCTGTTGCTAAGGGACACTTCAAAGAGGCAGCATTTCATAAAATTAATTCCATTTGTATGAGAAAATCTAATATTTCTACTTATGTTTTATACTTACTGTCCCAACTATTCCCCATCATCCCAAGCTGAAAATTTTAAAGAGCAAAAACATATGTTTTAGTGAGAATTCACTACTACTGACACTGTAGGGCAGGATGAATTTAAAGGAAATTTATTCTCTCCGATAACAAAAAAAAATTTCACATTTTACTAATCTATAGAAAGAGTGATCTTTAGTTCTAAAACATCTGGACCCTACATTCCTCTGTAATAAGAGATTACGGCATAAGAGGAGCACATTTTGTTGGGGGGAGGGCACTAAAGGGTCCTAATTTTGAGGGGGGCACTCAGTGGATTCGGTCGTAGTTAAAACAGTAACCATGATGGACTATCACTAGATTATTTTCCTTTTCTAATCTCTGAGTGGGGGCATCTGAAGCGGAGGGGGTGCTTATTAGTCCAAAAAACTGCTCGGTTCTTGAAAAACCTAAGGTTTGTGGTTATTGAGTGCTAGTTTTGATGCAGCCTCCTGCTATTCGTACCAAGTAATATCTGTTATGTCTTGTAAATCTGATCTGTGGTATAAAGTTTTCAGATATATGGCCCCATGAAGAATGTCCCTTTTAGGCAGTGTCACATGACACATGAAGACATAAAACAAGTTATACCTTAAACATATACCTGCCTATTTCACTTAACATTTATAATTATTTTCAATTTCTTAATAGATATTTGAATGTCAAGGGTGCACTTTTGATGTTTTATTTTGTAACAAATGACACATGACTGCATCAACATAATTTTAATATTGTTGATTCCTCTAGCACATTCCTACATGGGCTTTCAATCTGATCAGATATGTAGTTCTGCAGATAACGACTTTCAGAGATTGCCTCTTTAAGGTCGATGTCACTTGACGCATGTAGGGAGTGCTGGTGGCCAAGTGGTTAAGTTTTGTGACTTCCTCTGACCAGAGGGTCAGGGGTTCAAATCCACCTGCTGGCCATAAGTCGAGGGAAAAAAACCACCTACATGTACCTTGTAAGACCTTTTTTTTTTCTTCTGTCCATCAATAGGTGATACGGACTGTGCCTGAATCACCTGAAACAAGCTCAATTGGAAGCTTGTACTCCATAGATTTTCTTGTTGCACTTAAATGAAATCCTGAGATTCAAATAAGTCTCCATTTTCTCAGGCCCTTACTGTCAGGACGGAAGTCTTTGTGGTGTTGGAGGCACCTGTTTTCAGCAGAGTAACCCTGTTAGCTCTTACAGATGCGTGTGCGAAACCGGGTACAGGGGTATAGAATGTATGACTAAAGGTGAGTTGCTTGATCCTTGAATTACTTGCTGATGGTATTATACCAAAGTAAACTTGTCCTCAGGTGAATTTGGTAAATTTGGTCGAACATGCCGACTTTTTGAAATGACAAGATACCATAACCACATTCTTTTACACAGTTTGACTGCACTTCTCTCTTTTTGGAAACTTAAAGACGATGCCACAAAGTTCCTGGTTAATGGTCAATTGAGTGCTCAGGTCACACACACACCCTTGGCCTTCATGGATTAGAGCCTGATATCAGTTTTCTCTACAAACATGTACTAGTTGTCTAATTAGTTGTTGTGACTTGTGTGTATGTTCTTTTTCTACTCTAACAGACTTAGAGCTTATCATATAATGCCTGTATGTGTGTCCAAAACATCAGTCAGACCAGGGATATGTTTGTACTATTTTGGAAATTCTCTGATTGTAATTTTTCTAGATTGCTTCGCACTGGCAAATCCAATTATTTGTGTATGGTTGATGTACAGTAATTGCATGAAGTCCAGAATACCACTCAAATTCCCTGGACTGTTGGTTTGTCTTTTGTCTGTCATTCCCCGTCAGCTGTTTTGTGTCTGTAGCCACCCCACTACCCGTTACCACAACCCCATGCCAAGCCTGCCATGCATGTGAGTCTGGTCCTTGCCAAAATGGCGGCACCAGCCAAAATGTTGGCACCTCATGTACTTGTGACTGTTCCTCCAGGTATCAAGGCCAGAACTGTGAGATCGTTGATGGGTCCACTGACTGATAAACTGTCAGTGTTGGGTGTCTTCAAAAAAGCACTTTCTGTACTTTTAAATCTGTGTACATGTACTCTCTGTATGTGAAAATTCCCATTGCAACAGGTGCCATCTTTTTTTTTCCACCTGTCACCTTTTCAGGAGTGCACACAAGTGTACCACTTTTTAAAATTGTTTTCTCCCCCAAAACACATAACTTACGAGGAGAATATAATCTATAATCATTCAAATTTTTAATATTTTTGAGACTCTAAGACAGTGGGCTACATGAATAAAATCTTTTCTTTTTACTACCATTTTTTGAACATTTGCTCTTGTTTGTATGAATAGCAACAAAAGGCAAAAATCCTATACTGAAAAATATTAAGCATTTGCTTTTCTGAAGCTGAAAGCAAATGTCAGTTCATTAAATATGCTTTCAAACTGATGGTTTTCGCTTCCAAACTGATGACAGCATATTTAACTTGTAGCATCTACTTGCCTAGATGAATCAACCCTTGAAGAGTTAACATATCCTGGAGCTCCTGTTTGCAGATAACTGCACCTTTAATTTCTCAAGCAGAAGAGGTACTCCAGAGAATTGCCAACATGAATTGGCCTCACAATCAGTCTGAAGAAGACAGGTGATGTACCAGTCTCCGCCTGGTGAACTCTACAGTGTGTCACACCTCACCATCGATACACCAAGCTTAAAACAGTGCAACACTTCACCTACCTAGCCAGTGTCATGTCAAACAATTCAGCAATCGACTAGGAGCTGGACTACTGCCTATCAAAACCCAGCAACTCCTTGGGCACCTTGGCAAGGGAATGTGGCAAGACCACTCTCTGTACCTCTCCTCAATCAAAAGTTATATAGTGCAGTTGTAGTCACACCTTTCCATGTGAGGCAGAGACATGGGTCCAATACAGGAAACAGGTGCATCTGCTTTGACTGTTTCCTACTGAAGTGCTGCCTTTGCATCATCCTCAACATCAAGTGAAAGGACTGTATTTCATATGATGAGGTGCTAGAGAAAGCTCATCGGTCAAGCATCAAAGCTAATGCACACAGCTGCAATGAGCTGGCCATTTTGCAAGAATGGAGAGCTCACATCTACCAAAGGCTATCTACTTTGGCAATTTGCAGAAGAAAGTGAAATTGAGGGGCTCCGAGAAAGCACTTTGAGGACCAGCTGAAGAAGTGGCTTTCACTAAGTGGCATCCATCACAGCATCATCGTAGGCACTCAGAAACTTGAAGCTGACAGATGTGCAGTTTATGAGGACAAATGGAAGAGACATAAGAGGCAGGCCACCTCTAAGTCACCCTTAGCCCAGGGTTACCCTGTTCCAAGTGCAAGAAATGTCTGAGACGGAGATCAGGCTCCACAGCCACTTGCGACCCTGCAGAAAATAGATGGACCTTCCTCCCCTATCCTCACAAGTGAGGAGCAAGCCATCACTATCATATCAGTTCCAAGCTGCTCTACATGTACAGACTTGAAGCCCTTTTGGGGCTGGGGGCATTTATAAATGTTGATTCTGCTGTGCCACGGTATTTTCCATTTTTTTTCTTTTCAAAATTCTTTAAAAATTCTTTAAAAAAATCTTCCTTTACTGGACACTTACACCCACATGAAGGACTGTCTGGTAGCTACTCTAATCGGACAGACAACATCTATTGATGCAGGAGAATTTCAGCCAGGCCTGCCACCTTGTAAAAACAGCCCAGATTGTGTGGTGTTATGTAACTGTCATTTGTTTCTCAAACTGGCACAATGCGCTGCTGACCTCTTTTCAATAGGGACCAGATTAACATGCAGCGGTACTGTGTGGCATCGCTGTGGCCGTGGAGTGCTTTTGTCCCCGGTTGTAATCTGATCACACTGACTGCCACAAACAGTGGTATACTGTTTCAAAATAATGCTGGATTATCTCCTCTATTGACAGTGAAAATATGGTTGGTAATTCCCAGCAGCTTGGTCTTTTGTTACGAGTACGGTCTTTTGTTACAAGGCCAGTTTTCCTTTGTCCGATTTCGGACACCCCGGCTGCGCATATAAAGAATACATTTCCGAAACCATGCTCCCCGGCAGCAAGAAGTTAAAAACCATTCCGCTGTGCAGTCAACCACCATGACCACAAGCATTATAAGCATTTACTAACATTTGTACTAGCACATGCTGAACCATAACAGAACTGGTATTCATACAGATTCAGGCATTTGGTCATTCCAAATGCTTTTTCTTCTCAGTAAAGGGTTTTACTTTTTGCTTGGTTTTACTTTTTGCTTGATTACCCAGCACTTGCTGTTTTTTTTTTCATATTACCCAGCGTCATGAAGCACCTGGCCTTGGGCCATTGAGGGCTTGATCCACACACCCTCCACCTCCATGACCTATAGGCATAAGTCCAAGATGTCTTTCACTTGCTGGTTTGATTTGATAGAAACAATTTGACATTGCACCGGGTGTTTTGCCTCTTGGCAACCAAAAGATACCTTGTAGAAACATTGTTAATGGGGCATTTCTACATTTTACCAATTAAGGGGCTTAGCAATTTACACAAAAACCGCACAGATCCTAACAACATGTAGTTCTTTCTTTTAACAGTGACTTGTAATGACAACCCTTGTATAAATGGTGGAACGTGCTTTAATAGACATGCCGGTGTAGGATATTTCTGTAGCTGTCCGAGCGATTTCATTGGCACAAACTGCGAAGTTCCAGGTAATGTTGACTGTTGTTTCCAGCTTTCCAGTGTTGTTTCACCTTCTGCTAAATGTGTCTTCCTAAAGACTTAGGCTGAGTTTGTCAAACCTCCTTCCTCCATATATGTGTATGCTTTGCATCTGTTTGATTTTAACGTGTTTTAAAAGGGACCATGGTATGCAATTATTTTACTGCATATAACCCTTGAAATTGCACCTTTGAAACCTTCATGAAAGAACTAATTAATGTTCTCATATGAGGCTTTTATAATCTTAGCTTTGAAATGATACAACAAACCTACATAAGTGACACTATGAATTTCAGCACCATGAATTTGCAGTTAATTTGCAGTTTCACCGTGAAGTTGTTTTTTCACTGCAA